TTGTATTATAAGCTCTATGTTTGTTTGTGTGCAGTGTGACCTCTCAGTAGCAGAGCTGTGGGGTACCCATCCTGAGCCACTGTTCTATGATTTGTTCATGGAACTTGGTGGAGAGGAGAACAGAAAACTTCTCCCCCTGCCCCAACTAGTGTATAACCAGCAATACAATGGACGGTTCATCAACCAAGGTGCAGTTTATTTATTTATTAGTGTGTACATGTGCATATGTGAGTGCATGTGTGCCCATGTTGTTTTAATATATTTTGCCTTTGTACAGAGGGCATGAAGAACTGGTACCTGTCTCGACGTATGTTTCTTGTCGACATGCTGAGTGGAAGAGAGAAGGAGAGCTCCCTGCCTAAAGTCATCCGTGTAGCCAGCAGTATTAAAATTAGGTGGGCTTCCAATGTGCACACCACCATGATAAAAAATAAAGAAAGTGAAACCTTTATTTTTGTAACTGCTTTGTGATGTTTTTGATCCAACGTGTGTTTGGTAGGTTTCAGCTGGTTCCACGAACCCAGGAAGGACAGGTATTTCCCCCTTTAATGACTGTGACCTACAAAGATGTTCCCATCACGGATATCAATAAACAAACTGTGTCTGTGAGTAGGTTACACACACACACACACACACACACACACACACCCACACACACACACACCCACACACACACACACACACACACACACACACCTTCAGATCATCAGAGCAAAAATGGCTAAATGAGTCACTGTCTTATCCAAAAACAAGCTATGGGTTGCCTTATTTGTTAAATTTGTTTATCTGTTTCCAGACAACATTTGCTGTGGAGTACGAGATGGATCAGAGTGAGGCTCGCATGAAAACAGATGTGAGTAGAAGCATGAATGAAATGTTGAGAAGTTCTTGTGTATGTCAGAGCACACAATGAAATAGTATCACCTGTGGCTTCTAATGCCTTATGTGTGCACAGACTGCTCTGGGTGTGATGGGTGGTATGGCCGTGCTTTACTCTCTGCTGAAGACAGTCAGCTGGAAGAGAAGGATTGCCTCTCCACTCATTGATGTGGAGGTACTGTGTCTCTAATATGTCATAATTTAAATATGTTGGTGTAAAGCTTAGAAGTAATGCTAGACTCTCGATTTTCTCTTGCCTTAGACAATGCTGAGGTTTTTGTTGTTTTATGCTGGAGATCTGGCCAATGTTTTCTTTGCTGTCACCGTGGGAACTGGACTTTACTGGCTCATCTTTTACAAGGTTAGTCTCATTCCTTTGGGACTTTCTTTTATAGGATTGATGATTTTCATACTTGTGTGGTCTTTAACATTTGTACCAGTATCTCCTTGCTGTAGCTTTTTCTTTTGACCCCTTTTAAACTTTATTGCTTTTCCAAACCCATTGTGTTTCTTTTGACTTTGCATGGATTCTTAATTGTTTTTTCCTCTCTGCACTCTTTAGACGTTAAAGGCAAGTCTTTTTCCTCCTTTACCTTCTTTGCCACAACTATTTTTTGAATGCATAGATGTAGGTGTGATTATTGTTGGCTGCTTGCTGGGATTCATTTTTGTATGTGTCTGTTTAGGCCCAACAGTTTGTATCAGTGCTGTTACCACTGCCTGTTCAGGAGGAGCAGTTTGTGACGTACATTGGTTGTGCCTTCGCTCTCAAGGTTAGACACCTGAAGAACAGATGTAAAAATGAGCAGTACTGTTTTTGAAAGCTAGGTGGTGTGCTTCTATTAGGAATGTTGAAGGATTATGGTTTTGTGTATTTTTGTGTCTCCAGGCTGTTCAGTTTCTCCACAAGCTGATCCTTCAGGTGTCAGTTGATATATTCTTTATTGACTGGGAGAGGCCACGAAGTAAAGCTAGCAGAACTGTGCAAGGTATAAACATATTTACTCTGAGCTTTTATTTTGCAGTTTTTATAAGAAGTAATTATCTAGCTGCTTTATTCCAGTCACCATATTCACTACTGTTTCAGCTACTGGTGAGACGAAACGGGACCCTTCTCCTGTCAGCATCTGGAGGACCTACTTTGTGGCGAATGAATGGAATGAGATCCAGACCATCCGCAAGATCAGCCCTACCTTTCAGATCATGGCTGTGCTCTTCTTCCTTGAAGTACATCTTACACCAGCTCATACACTTCTTTTTTGCAACTTTTGTTATTTCCCCATTCCTCATAACTGGTATGTCACCCTGTGTTGTACAGGTGCTGGGTTTCTCTAACCTGGCCCTGAGGGACCCCTGGCCAACTTTGCAGCGATCCTCACAAGCGTACATCCCTTCATACAGCCTGATGTTGCGCTATGGGCTGGCAGCCACACTGTGGCTCTGCATTGGACTTCTTCAGGTAAAACTGCCAACATTTACTCTTATTTCCTCCTTCTCTCACTTCCTTTTGATCTCTCACATCATATACAGTGAAAGTGTGGAGAGCTCCTTTTAAAAGATAATCATTTATTCCTACAGGTGATTTTCTTCACTGTGTTTCATGAGCACTTTGTGGAGGACAAAATCCGTCAGTTTGTAGATCTCTGCTCCATCAGTAATGTAAGTAGCAATGGGCATAATTTCTATTAAACTATTCATCTGTCTGGAATGTTTTTCATAACTTTGTGTGTTTGTCCCTGTTTCTCTATAGATTTCTGTGCTGCTGTTATCTCATCGTTGTTTTGGCTACTACATCCATGGGCGTTCAGTACATGGCCATGCAGATACAAACATGGAGGAAATGAACAACAATCTGAAAAGAGAAGCTGTATGTACACCAACAGACTACACATTGTTTTGGTAACTGTAGAATAATTATGGAATTATTGATTTCTGTCTTTTTCTGTCTGAAGGAGTCCCTGTGTGGGCAAAGGGGGCTGCTACCCAACACAGATGTCCAGACCTTTCAGGTGTCTCTTACCAATCGTCTGCGGTCACAGTATGATAGGATTCGGGAGCCACTCTCCAGGGTGTGTTCTTTCTCTGTCATCTTTGTAACTCTCTTATAAGCTCTCGAAAAAAATTAAAATCAGTTTATCTGGCTGACTGTCTCCTGTGCTCTAGAAGAACGGGCCATCACGGCTGATGGATGCATCGACGGCAAACCCATTTGATCAGAACATTAGAGCCTACCACACCATGAACCACTTCCTGGGATCCATTATAGACCATGTTAGTACAAATGCACCTAAATAAACTCACACAATCAAGATGAACCCAGTCCAGTTTGATTTGATCTGAATGTATATCCTTAAACTCGTTAGATTGTAAAGTATATGAGTTGTTTTCATTGACCTGAAACATTTTGTACTGACACATTTGTCTCTCATGTCGCCCTATTTACCTTAGGCCCACCCTGACATGGACTATATAGTGAAAGACAAGCTGGTGTTTGAGAGGGTCATAGGAATGGAGTTTCTTGAACCCAATGAAAAAAGTATCTTTTACAATGGTAATGACCCCTTGGCCTAGAAAAAGCTTAGATATATGTACAGTATGTGTATGTCCTAAATGTCTGTATTTCTCTCTTCAGATGAGGCCCACTCTTTCAGTGACATGCTGTTTTATGGAAATGAGGCCACGCTGCTGATTTTCGACACTTTGTTCTTCTGTGTTGTCGACCTTGGATCTCAGAGCTTTGTACTTGCAGCTGTGCTTACATACATACAGCAAATGGTCAGTATATGGTGTGTATATAGTATGTTGCCCTTACTACACTAAGAAAAGCATATATTGAAAACCATCTCATTCATTACAGCTATTCCGCCTGATCCGTAACTTTCTTGGAAGGAAGAACCTCGTCAACAAGACTCTGGTGGATGAGAGGTTTCTGATATAAAATTCCCTGCTGAGTAATTGCTAGTTTCCGTGTTGTTTAGCGCCATTTCTCTCAAATGTTTACTGTTCACAGCTTCTGCAGCTTTTTTTTGTACTTTTCTTTACATATACAGTATTTTCACTGCTGTGTCATGATGTTGACATCGTAATTTTTGTAAAGTTTTTGATGTTTTTATTGATTAAAATGTTTTTTGATATTAAGACAGTTTTGTTTTGTGTTTTGTTTTGAGGTCATTTTAATGAAATACACTTACCTCTCCAAATTTGTCATGATAAATATGGAATTCTTATGATAACAAAAAGTAAAGAATGTGCTGCAAGTGTGCAACAACATACACTGAGAGACTATAAATGTGTCAACTGTCAGTTATTCCATATAGTTTATATTATCTTAACTACCTTTAACATTTCTGTTTAAATTAGACCATTACGAATAGTGTTGCAAAGCACCAAGCAAGACTGTTTTATGGCAGCAATGGATTTATATTTGAATTTTGCATATTAGCATATTTGCATATTGTTTTGTTTTATTTATTTATTGTTTTATTTATGATATTAGCATATCAATGTTGTGATAGAAAATACAATGGAGCAGAGGTCAAAGTTAAAAGTATCTTTATTGTCCCTTACAGGGAAACTGGTTTAGAAGCAGGGCTATACAAAGGCACACAGAGCACATATGGACATCAACAGACAATATGACCATATGGCCACGATATGTAAGAGTTCATTCATTAAGGTCAAAGTGCACAAGTCAAGTGAGCATTCTGTGCAAATAAGCAATATCCAGACAACAATAAAATACAATCTGCCATTCAACAACTGAATACCACAAGCTTAATGTAGTCACAAGTTAGAACATTATTTATAAATTCTCTTGTGCCTTTCGGCTTTTGTGTCTGTTCAGGCAGGGCACACTTAAAAAAGTAGATGTTTTCTTTGTGGTTGATCATAATTTAGCTGATTTCAAGTCCATCTTTCCCTTTAATGGGAAATGATAGGACAGATAAATGATACGATGAAATGTGTTTTCATATTGCATGATTTCACAGTATTACTGCCACATCTCCAAACATCTTGTGGAATGTTAAAAAATTTAATTTTGATCGGTCCGTGCGTGTGGGATGGGGAGTGACGTCACGGCGGCTGTTAGCGCTCAGCCAATCAGCGTTCAGTTTGCGGTGCAGCGCTCCAGAATGACACGAACTGGAGGATCGGTGTCAAGACATGAACTCCAGTAACTTCTTCACCTCCATCAGTTAAGGTGAGTCTGAGTTTTTTGCTCTGCATTCACACTTTTAGTTAATACATAGTTGAGTCTAGTGGGCTTTCAGCTGGTGTAATCATCTCCTACGTGAGCAGACATTATCCAGTTTGACGGGAGTTGGTGGGTGTAACCCAGGCACCACTAGCCTCCGTTAGCATGAATTTGGCTGCTCTGCAGAGTTGACAGACGCACGTCGTATCCGTTTGAGAGCTAATTTGTTAATTTTCTGTTAATGTCATGTCGTGGCACCGCTTATGAGACTTATATGCGGTCAGCTCAGCTCTGAGACTGAACTTCTGTGTTGCAAGTTCCGCTAACAGCTCTGAGGTTAGCTTGCGTTGAAAAGACTTGCTTCTGCTACTAGCAAGGGGAGGCTAGTGATGTCAATAAACATGGCAACTTTCTTGCAGAGCTCAGAGCTGGGACGGGCCCCCTGTGCTCTCTATGACTCATACACTGTTTTTTGGGAGGATTTTTCACCGCCTAGTTTAGTTCAACGCAGCGGGGTCAGCCCTTTTAGGATATTTTGACTAAAACGTTTGAGCAGCGTAGATTTTCAACTGAGCTGTCATCATCTGTGCTGCTACTGCATGAGACTGACTAAAAGTAGATTTCACTCCGAGTGGCTGCAGATATACTTAGATTATGCAATAAGGACACATTATATGGAGAGACGCAGCCAGAATCCAGTTCAGTAGGCCATGACCAGACAGAACATTTCTCAAGATCCAAATGTCAGGGCTGAAATTCATGCCAAAGCTATTTTTAGCAAGGCGTGCAACACTGCTGACCTATCGTTGGAGAGGAGTGCAGAGTGGTAACTCAAGCCGGTACATCCTCTGGCGGTGCTGTCTCTACTATACATTTTCTTCAGATTTGAGGACAACAAAAGTGAACTGTGTTGAAACCAAGTCATCACAAATGTCGGCCATGTATTTTTGCATAAGGATCTAATATGACATGTCAACACTCAACAGTTATAATAGTACATCCAAGGGTTTTCATTCCCAGTGTCCTTTTACAAATACACTCAGTTGGCACTTTATTAGATACACTTAGCCAAAACTAATCCAGTTTAATACAACAGTCCTGAAATAAACTCTACCTTCATGAAGGTTATGATGTTCAGTTTTTGTTGAAACTGTTTTAAAGAAGTGTTGATTCAACTTTATGATCGTTTTGGAGGATGTCATTTGTGGTGCTCTTCAGCTGTTTTGCATTATACAGAGATATTTCTGTTTTTTAGCCTACTATGATTGATTTAAATCTATGCACATTTATTTCCGTATTTCACCACTTTGGAAGGATATCAAGTTTCATCTAAAATTAGGCTAGATGACCATCCAAGGGGCAGAGAAATAGGATGCAAGTTTCCAGAGGTTTAGGTTTCTACAGAGCCCTTACATCATGGAGTTAATGAAGAACCATTTATCTGATTTAATCTGAATTGCTCACGTTACTTGCCAGTATAATGGGTTACTGTTAGGTTATTCAGACACGAAATGTACCAACGTTTGTTGTTTTGCAGGGGGTTATTTAAGGCACTGCTACCGTCAATCTGTCCCAACCTCAAAACCTCATCACATAATCTTTCCGTTTGCACATTGTTTGCTTAATGGTGCATAGAGTGAACACTTTGTCCTCAGTAGCTAAATTGATCTGGTTAAAGGTACATCCAGATGTTGCTATCTGCCTGCTGTGCCTTTGAGTTCTGTGTGTACTTGCCTCTTCAATAGGTGTAAATACATCTGTGGTGCACTGTTTCTGTGTGTGCCTTCTGTGCACCGTCAGCCATGCCTGTGACATCGCAGCTGCTCAGGGTTTTGCCCCGCACCAAGGTCTTGGCCTCCAGTCTGTTACCATGCCAACAACACCAGTCCCATTTAGCACCTGTCACTCACCAACCTGCCTCAAGACGGCTGCCCCACATGTGGCAGAGTCACCAGCACTCAAGAAGTTACCAGACAGCCTCAATCCTCCGCAGCTACATCCTCACGCCTCCACAGGTCAACTCCATTCTTAAAGCCAACGAGTACAGCTTCAAGGTTTGTAGGATCGTTCATGCATGCAGAAAACACTTATCGCCATTTCTACATTCAAGTTTCCATCTCACCATGTGTATGTGTTGTGATTATAGGTGCCAGAGTTTGATGGAAAGAATGTGTCATCAGTGATGGGTTTTGAGAGCAATCAGCTACCAGCCAACGCCCCTATAGAGGATCGTCGCAGCGCAGCCACATGCCTGCAGACACGAGGAATGCTGCTGGGTGTGTTTGATGGCCATGCTGGCTGTGCCTGCGCTCAGGTAGAGCTGACTGTGTTACTATATGCTACTTGACATTTAAATTTTCTGTTTACTCTGATTTTATTTGAAAGATTCTTGAATTGTTTGATAATTAGCATGTTATATTAGTACTTCTCATCCAGTGATGTCTCACTCACAGTAGTATTCATATTAGAACTTCTCCCATTTAGTCATCAGAGGTTATCCAGGAATTTAGTAATTGGAACTTTCATTTCATACTCTGGAAATGAATCATACATTTCAAATCCGTTTGTCATCAGATTATTATCGTATTTTCCTCAATAATTAAACATTTACTGTCACATTTACCACTGTGTATGGCAGAGTAATAATGACCTAAGGTACAACGTCATGCTCTGTAAAGTTTCAGGCTATAAACTGTAAACAGCTGTCAGTATTAGCATACAGAGGATTCTATGTTGTTTTTTTTAGCTTGTGTATCATGTGTTTCATCAGCATTATTTTCTTCTTGTCCTCCTCTCTGCCAGGCCCTGAGTGAGAGGTTGTTTTACTACATAGCAGTGTCTCTGCTGCCCCACAACACACTGTGTGATCTCGAGGCAGCAGTAGAGGCAGGCAGGGCCCTCAGTCCCATCCTGCAGTGGCACAAACACCCCAATGACTACTTCAGCAGGGAGGCTCAGAAGCTCTACTTCAATAGCCTCCGAACCTACTGGCAGGAGTTAATAGATCTCACCAGGTGAGGGCTGGACAACAAAATGAAGGATATATGACAGAGTCTAAAGGCCTTTTGGTTCAGCAGCAGTGCTGTCGCAAAAAAATGCATGTCTTTTATTTCATTTCAGTTACACCACTGTGTTGCCACACCTTAGTGTTTGCCTTTGTGCAAAGCACTATTTTGACCAATCAAAAATGGCAGATGTAATATCTTTCATAATGTACCTTATGACCCTTTGCTGTGACCAATCCTGCTGTAGTGGAGTATAAATTGCTGCCCAGTTTCTTAGCTTTTGCTAACATTTTAAACGGGACTTCCTGGTTTCTTCATCTGTACCATGTAACAAGCCCACACTGGCCCATCTGTTGTTTTGCCAATAGGGCTGTTGTTGGTCTCTGTTCTCGACCTCTGGCTTCCTCCCTCTGCTTCACACATATTGCTCTCTCTGTCTGTTTTCAGCCCAGGCGAAGTTCCAGACACCCGCGAGGCCCTCCTGAGTGCCTTCAAGAGGTTGGACAATGACATTTCTCTGGAGGCTCAGGTCAGAACTATGTGCTGTGAAACAGTGAAGCTAGGTCCTCTAAAAGAATATTGTTATAATGAGGAACTCAGATGTTCTCCTCAATAACTTTATCTAAGACTACAACAGACTTATAAAGTTTTGACGTTAGGGCTGCCATGGTTCTCATTTATTTTTCATTTACCTGTTTTACATTTGGACCTACTTTTAACATGAATTAATGTAAAATCCATGTAAATGAAGCTCACAAGGCTTTATCTGCTACTTTACTAACAGTATTCTTACCTGAAGCCAGTGCACTATGACAATATGCACACACACATCTTCCACTAGGTACATTTTCATAGCCTACTGTAATCCTATACTGTTAAAGAATTATATTTCCCAAGCATTGATAGTGAAGTCTGAATCATATTGCATGTCATTAAATTTGTTCCGAGTGCAGGACTTGAGTTCTGAGTTTCTTAAGATACATATTGAATAACACCTTTGCCTCATGGCAGCAGAGTAAAAACTGTAAGCATCCAAATTTAAACTTTAATGGTCTAAAGAGGAGCTCAGGTGTCATTGGACCTGCATGTAATTTAAACTATGTACCACCAAGGTCACTAATAGGCGGTCTGTGGTCCGGGTCTGGACCCAGATGCCATCCTATCCGGACCGGCACTTATAACCTATAAATTATTGAGAATAATGACGTTTTGATGAAGCATTTCTATTTTAACCCGCGCAGCTTTTGTAGCCTTTATGGCACTGGTCATGTGATGCTACTCAGCCAAACTTTACAACTCCAGTCAGTGAGTGAGACACACAGAAGGGAGCCAAAACAGACGGTACAGTCTATGGATGAGACATTAGTGGGGAAATAAGTGGGGAGTGGGGCAAGAGGGTATAAGAGTGAAGGAAAGAGTAAAGGAAGTTTTTTTTATTAAGATGTGTTGAGAGTGAGAGTGTTTATTATAAAAATGGTTAAGACTTTTAAGACTGAAATGGAGTTAACAAAAAAGAAGGAAAAGGGAAACTCTACAAATTGAATTTTAATTAAATACCCCTGATGTATCCTGTGTGGAGGCTCACAGTGTAAATTTGCCATGCAGGTTGGAGACCCGAATGCCTTCCTGCACTACTGGGTTCTTAGAGTGGCCTTTTCTGGAGCAACGGCTTGTGTGGCTCACATCGATGGATCAGACCTGTACGGAGAATGAATACACACATAATTTTTAAGAAAACTGATATTTCCTGATGTAAAAGAGTTGTTCTGTAAAGGTAAAATATCTTGTCAAATATTTTAAGCAATTTTGTGCTCTTGCTCCTCCCCTTTCTGTTCCTAAAGGTTTATAGCCAATGCAGGAGATGCTCGGGCAGTGTTGGGGGTGCAGGAGGAGGATGGTACATTCAGCGCCCACACACTCTCTAATGACCACAACGCTCAGAACGATGATGAGGTGGCTCGGATTCGGGGTGAACATCCTCCATCAGAAAGAAAGACAGTTATACGACAGGTACTACACCTACTAATTTGTCGTCAGTGTGGTTGTTATTACAGCATTTATTAAAACCTCTTTTTCTTCTTTGTTAAATCAGGACCGGCTGCTCGGCCTCCTCATGCCGTTCCGTGCATTCGGAGATGTAAAGTTCAAGTGGAGTATTGAATTGCAGAAGCGCGTGTTGGAGTCTGGACCTGATCAGCTCCATGAAAACGAACACACCAAGTTTATCCCCCCCAACTATCACACACCACCCTATCTGACTGCTGAGCCTGAGATCACATACTACAAACTGCGACCACAGGATCGCTTCCTGGTGAGAGAAGAAGCAGCAACACAGTTTCATCACTTGCATATCTTCTGTATATCTGTTACCAAAAGATAAAGGCTGCATTACATTATTTACCAAAGTAAATAATTAGGGGATTCTTAGTTTAAGAAGATGAAGTCCCCATTCTTAATACTGCCTATAAAGCTTTGGTTGGCAGACTGTTTCTCCAGCATAACTGTGGAGCACAACACGACACATCTTTGAATTGTTTGACAAAATGGAGACCCTCTACAAAATACTAGAATAAAAGTAAGACGCATTATAGACTTGGCTTCTCACTCTAAGATGGGAAACATTGAATGCACTGTTTGATAACAACCATGACCAGCAGATTTTATCGCTCACAGCTAATTAATTTTGAGATCTAACCCAAATTACAAAATGAAACTATCTGTATTGCGTCTGGGCTGATAATTTCATGTTGTATGGTTTTTTTCTGGTTGGTTTGAAATGAGAACTCAATGACCTTTTCAGACAAAGGTTGTATTTGCGAAAAAAAAAAAAGGTTCTTTGAGTTTCCAGTGGCACTATTTTCCAAAATGGATATGGTGTTTTGTAATGAATCTCATGTACTGATCTAACCCCTTGCCATGCCTACTCCAGTAAGTAACTGCGCTTATCTGACATTACTCTCATGTGTTTATGGACTCTTCTCTGCCTGTCCCTGCAGGTGATCGGCTCTGACGGCCTCTGGGAGACCCTCCACAGACAAGAGGTGGTTCGTATTGTGGGGGAGTATTTAACAGGGGTGCACCAGCATCAGCCACTCAAAGTCGGAGGCTACAGGGTCACCCTCGGACAGATGCAGGGGCTTCTCGAAGAGAGGAAGGCTCGTGTGTCTTCGGCTTTCGAGGATCAGAATGTGTCGACCCACTTGATGCGTCACGCAGTAGGAAACAACGAGTTTGGCACAGTGGACCACGAGAGGCTGTCAAAAATGCTGTCACTGCCTGAGGAGCTGGCTCGCATGTACCGTGATGACATCACCATCATCATCACTCAGTTCAACCCTCATGTGATTGGAGCACAGAGACAGGAAGGGCAGCCCTGAGCTGGTCAAAAGCCATTCACTGGTTTCAAGCTGATGAGTACACACACTTCTGTAAATGTGCACTGCAGATCGACACGTAAGCACACTCTCTGGACAAACAGGCCATACTAAGAAAATATCTTAATGAATTTGTTTTTAAAGTGGCAAGAACAAGTAAGTGAACCTTTTGGAATGATCTCCATTTACGTATAAATTTGTCCTAAAATACAGTGAGATCTTCATCCAAGTTACAATTATGCACAAACACACTCTATTTCAACTAATAAGACACAAATCATTTTGTTGGTCTTGTCCATATTGAAAACATTCAAACACTGACAATTTAGACTGGAACAAGTGTGTGAACCCCTTGGCTAATGGCATTAACAAAATGGAGTGGCCTAGTCAGAGCCCAGGCCATCCTAAGAATACGACTGAGCAGTTCTTTTAGGAAAAATGGTCCAAAGTTCCTCCTGAACATTGTACAGGTCTGATCAGCTGCTACTGGAAGAGCTTGTTTAAGGTTATTGGTACCAAAGGAGGTTTTACCACTTATCAAATCCAAGAGTTCACTTTCTTTTTCCACCAGCACTGTGAATGTTTAATGGGTGTGTTCAATAAAGACACAAAATATTATAATTATTTGTGTAATATTAGTGTAGGGACACTATGTTTGTTTACATTTGTGACTTAGATCAGATCACATGTTATGACCAATCAATGCAGAAAAACAGGTTATTTTTATAGGTTCACATACTTTTTCTTGCCACTGTAACTCTGTTAATGTACAGAATTTGTATGTTTTTATGCGATGCTCCAGAACATCCGGTTTCCTATGAAGTTAAAAATCTCTGGATCAAAGTCTCTTACATAACATGTTATTTATGACAATATTCTCTGGCAACATTTCTTACATGCTTATCTGCAAGGCTGATAAGATGCTGTTACTAACTGATTTTTGTGCCAAAAGATTCGACCACCTTCGACTCAGCGGGGTTGAAATTATAGAAATTCCAAAGAGGGTGAAGGTTGGGACTCTATGAGTAAAGAGGCCTTGCAGTAACTGACCTGACTTGCTTTTTTTTTCTAATGTGGACTTTTAACTGGTCTGTGCCAAGATAACATCACACTCTGTTTTTTCACTGTTTGGACTGTTTCTGCATCTGAGGGACTGATGTTACAACAGAGGACTATTGCATCCATTTGTTTTTACGTCTTTGTGTGTTTTGTTGTATGAGATATTCTTAGTACTGTCCAAACCTACACATCGTGTTCAGTATTTACCCTGCAGTGAGTATTTGGATGGTGATATCTACTCTACTCCAGCACACTAGATTTCAAGTGAAACTGACTGTCAAATTAAAGTGCAGACGTTGAGCTCACATCCATTGGACATTTACATCCATATTGGATTGTTGAAAGTCAGGACTTCATAGTGCAGTGGTTCCCATTCTGTGTGGCACCCCCAAAGTGTCTCAAGATAAAGGGTCACATATGAGCATGAGGAAGAGAGAAAATATTTCTGTTACACAAAATTGTATCTATTTTCTCAAACTTTTCTTTAGAATATTTGCTTCTTTTAAAAATACTGCAAGCAGTCTCCTCTTCTGGCTTTTAAAAATTCTTCAAATTAAACAAGCTGAGAAGGAATGTGGTTTAGCTGCTGTTTTGTATTTTGAGCAGGCAGTAACCTGGAATGAGGGAACACAAACAGACAACACTTCATTTCAAAGGTTTACAAGCCACAAACGGTTGGTAAACCCCTGAACTAGAGCTTGTTTTCATTTCAAACCTAGTCTGCTGGCTGGAGTACAAAGCAAAAACAAAACTGCAAATATTTACAGATTTATTTTATCAAGTTATGAGCTCTACCACTACAGGTAGACTGATATTTAGTGGGTTTTTCTGTGTCACTATCACTTGATTATTGTGGTGCTTCTTTGCTGAAAGAAGTTATATCAAAGTGAAGTATTCTCCATTCCCCAGCACTACTTTAGCTAGAGAGACAGTGGTAGATGTCAGTATGTGTGTTAGTGAACCTCTAAGCAGACATACTAACTAAACTTTACCACAGTCGAACCAGCTAGTTGCAGCTGTGAAGCATCTGTTTTTCAGGGGTCGGAGTAAAATGACTGCCTGTAGTTCTTTTCCAAGCTTTGTTGGGTTAAAAGGGAAGCATGCTCATCTTGCCTTATGTTCTTTTTCTGACAGGTCATTAACAGTGTGGATAACAGTTTCCTACAGATTTTTATTTTATTTATGACAGTAATGGTGAAAGTAAAGCAGACAACTCTCTTCATACTCTCCAGTCAAACACTATTCAAGGGGGCGTGACTATGTGTATTTATGCCCAAATGAATGAGCAGAATGTAAATTTGAAACAAGCTGTTTGAATATTATTGAGGTTATTTATTCAGCTTTAGCATTATGTTACACATGTATATCTACAGTTGTATGTATAAATTGTAACTTATGTGGATTAAGTTTTGTATATGGAATGGTTTAATAAAACACTGAATACACACCACCTTCCCTGAATGTCTATTTGTGCCTTATTATACTATGACATTTTATGCCCTACTATAGAATTATGTTTTTATGCCTAACTATACTATGATTTTTTTATGCTTTACTATACTATGATGTTTTTTGAAATTTTCATGCCATACTATACTATATTATATGACTATACTATACTACGAAATTTTAATAAATACAATTTTTGACATTTTTAGGTCTTATTATTTTATGATATTTCATGCTTTGCTATACAATGAAATTTTTATGCCTTACTATACTATGATGTTTTTATGCCTTCAGGTATGAAGTTTTTCAAAATTTGCATGCCTTACTATACTATGACGTTTTTTATGCTATACAAAATTCTTTGACATTTTTTTAACATTTTTATAGTATACTTTAATACTATATACTACTACTACTACTACTATGTTTTTTAACACTTGTATGCCTTACTATACTATGACATTTTTAGACATTTTTATGCCTTACTATACTATGACGTTTTTATGCCTTAATATACTATGACGCTTTTATTGTTTACTATACTATGACATTTTTGGGAGTTTTTATGCCTTCCTGTACTATGAAGTTTTTCGAAATTTTAATACCTTACTATACTGTGACATTATTTGACATTTTCATGCCTTACTATACTATGACGTTTTCTTGCCTTACTATACTATGACGTTTTTTATGCCATAAAAAATCTTTTGGTATTTTTATTCCATACTATACTATGACGTTTTATGCCTCATATTATACAATGATGTTTTTTGAAGTTTTTATGCCTCACTATATGCCTTACTGTACTATGATGTTTTCATTCAGTACAACATTATTTGACATTTTTATGCCTTACTATACTATGACATTTTTCTAAATTTTTATGCCTTACTATACTATGGCGTTTTTGAGATTTTTATGCCATATTATACTATGACGTTTTTTGACATTTTTATGCCTCAATACACTGTGACACTTTCCTTTCTCTGATGTAATAACGTCATAGTATACGGTAAGGCAAGAAAACGTCAATAGTATAGTAAGGCATGAAAATGTCAAATAATGTCACAGTATAGTAAAGGTATTAAAATTTCGAAAAACTTCATAGTACAGGAAGGCATAAAAACTCCCAAGAATTCATAGTAATA